CCCGGATTGTTGTTGGGGGCGATATGCTGACTCTGTAAACCGCTTAGAGAGGGCTGAAAGCCCTATGAAGCAGTATATAAGTCTAACTAATTGCTATTCTAGGTTATGAGCAGGGAGAGATCTGGATTTCCCTCCCCTCCCAGCAACTTCCCGGCTCTTTCCGTCCCACCACTACCCCCCCCTTTTAAACATCTCCTCTCCTCCCTGCAATGGTTCACCAGGCAAGGGGTCTTGGAGCCGTCCAGGTCGAAGACACACAGGCGTCCAGGGGAAGCAGGGTGGGCAACTCCCAGACTTTCCTGGAGTTTGACAGGCTCCCGTCTCCCTTTCTTCCAGGCGAGAAACCCTACCGGTGCACCTGGGAAGGCTGCGACTGGCGTTTTGCTCGCTCGGATGAACTCACCCGACACTACCGCAAGCACACCGGAGCCAAGCCCTTCAAGTGCCTGGCCTGCGGCCGGTGCTTCTCCCGCTCGGACCACCTGGCTCTGCACATGAAGAGGCACCAGAACTAGGGCCAAGGCACAGCAGCCTCTCTCCGGCAGAGCCCTCTCCCTGTGCCCACCCTTCCCTGCACAGACTGCGATCAAAAGCCAGGTGCCCGGCCACCACTTCTGCCCTGCGGTGCCCAGGGAGGCAGGTTGAGCTGGCAACAGAAAAAGGCCTCCTCCACACTTGGGGGAATCTCCAGGAAACACCTATTATTTATTTCTGCATGAAACCAGCATGTCGACTCCTGGCCAATAGCTCTGTTGAAATCAGGCAAAGGGTGTAGAATGGGAGGAGGGCGTTGGCTGTTGGGCCGCTGTCCAAAATTAACTTCTCGGCTCTTGGAAGTCAACGTGGGATGTCCCAGGCCTTGGCTTGCTTGAAGGATCAACTTAAACTCTGGCTTAAATCGCTACGTTTCTGCAGCTGAGGGGGCCGGATGGGAGAAGGGGAAGCCCTAACATTTTGCACCCAAAGCTTCCTTATCGAGAGACAGACTTGGTGGGAGTGAAGCTGGCTCTCTCGCCGAAAGCTCTTCGGCATCCATCCACAACCTTCTGGCCTGCTGTGGGGTGGAAGGTTCAAGAGCCACTTCAGGGAAAGTGGTTTTCTTGTGTGGGCCTCGTCCTCACCACCTGCACTGAGCATCTTCCCTCTGGGCCCAGGGAAGGAAAGCAACTCCAATCACAGCTTCTCCTTGTTTTCCCCCTCTTCCCTTGTGCCGCACCAAATGGACAGCATGGACGTTTCAGGCAGTGGTGGGTTACGGCCAGTACACCCCAGTACGGGCATATTGGTGCCTGCTGGGAGCACCAGGTCCTGTTCCGGTACGATGTTTCGGAGGGCTCACCCACCCGCCCTCCATCCCTCCCTGTATTTGACCCAACCGGGCCATTTGTACATGCACAAGCTGCGTACGGCACCTGTGTGATGCTCCGCCGAGCAGCTGGAGCGTTGCAGGGCGGTGGTGCGCAGTCCGTGTGCATATGGCGGACGCCCGGCCCCATTGCAGCGTACCAGTTGCGACGGGATTTGGAATCCACCACTGGTTTCAGGCAGCAGTGGGAACCCTTCCCAGGCAGTCTCCCTTCCCGGAGTGAAGGGGGCCTTCCCCTACCTCGCGTGCCCAGCAAGGCCAGCAGGAAGAAAGCAGAGAACAAATCCTCCCAGGGATCTCTAAGGGAGCCCCCCCCTCCCCAATCTCCCGCTGTGTCCCAGGATCCACCCACTCTCAAGGCCTTCGCTTGGGGAAGCTGTGTGCCTGGACTCTCGATAGAGAAAGCAGAGTCAGCCATCCTTGAGACTCCCACCTGATCCGCCTTTCATCCTGCTGAGAAGGCAGCCAGCAGGGGCATTAAAGGCCGGCCTGATTCCAAAGTGGGCACCTCCCTCTCGGCCTCGATTTTGCCCATTGGGGCGCTTGGGCTTCCACGGTCCCATCCATATACCCCCATCAGCCTTGGGGAACTCCAGCCCGGAGCCTCATGCCAACTCTGGCTCAGCCAAGAGCTTTTCTTGGCTCTGCTGGAAGGGCGGCAAGAGGCCATATGTGGCATCTGGCACACGACTGGGGAGCTTAGTGCCAAATCTTCTTAGGCAAGAGACCCCCTGAAGCAGGGCAGCCACCGTCTTGGGGCTCCTCAGTGCTGCTTGCACATTTGAGTGTTATCTGGAGTCACAGCCTGGGAAGCTCTCCCCAGATTCACTGCCTGGCGCCCCCCCCTCCCCTCCCCGTACCTCCTGCAAGTGGCACAGCTGCTTCTCCGGTGGCATCAAGGCCCCCTCCCCAAGCAGAATGCAGCTGAAGTCTGGTTCCCCATTCCAGTTGTGGATCCTTGCAGGGAAAGAGTTTTCCTTTTCATAGAGGAGGTCGATACGGAAGAGGGTCGCCTCAAAAGGGGGATCTAATTGCACTAGATTTGACCTCTCCACCTAAATGCTTCCTTGGTCGCTGTGAACTCAGCACATGCTGGATGTGGAACTAAAATCAATGGGGACTTCAAGATCTTTGTTTTGGATCATAGCCGTAGCTGCTTGGTTAATCGCTTGGCATCCTGCAAAATTGAGACATATATGCATACATATATGCATACATGTATGCATACATATATGCATTCATACATACATACATACACGCACGCACACACACACACACACACACATATACCAGAGGTGG